ACACTGCTGCTGTGTCCCTTTTTCCTTTCCTCTACAACGTTTCTGTAAAGCTGGCTGCTTTCTTCCCTTCCTCTCAAACACTTCCTTCCCTCCTCTCTCCCGAGTCATTACTCCACAGAGGGATCCTGTCTGCTGCAGAGACTCTGGCAGCCAAGCAGTTGCTGCACGTTTTTAAAACATCACGTCCCTCTTGTTCACTATTGGAACAATGTATGATCTTTTCAGCATCCTCGCCCTCTGCCAACGTTTCCCACAGAACCTCCTCTTAGGGTATTGAAGGAAGCATATTTGTTGTACCCCTCACACCCCTTGAGCCCACTGGATGCCACAAAACTGCTTATCACCAACCACAGGATCCAGCTCTTGGGCTTCTTTGTAAAATTATGGGGCTGAGACTATAGCAGCATTTGACAGACTGGCTTCTGGAGAACATCAGTCCCTTCTCCCAAAAGAACTTAAGTTTAGGAAACTTCTGAAAATTCACTTCCTTTGGAGAATCACACTGTATAAAATCACATTAAAGGCTTTGGAGTCTTTAAGGAAATTCTTTTTTAATCAAGAATGCCCCAAAATTACTGGACCACAAAATCCTATTCTGCTGTTATTCACATTCTGATTAATTAGTATTATAAAGCAGACTTTTGAAAACTGCACTAGAGGTTCATTAAGGCCCACTAGAGGGTAAATGTTTTACAATTCTGTCTAAAATCCAACACTTAATACCTATAAAACACTAAGATGAATTTTTATAAACTTATCATGAAAATCAGTTTCAATATAAGACACAATTTTCACCTACTCACATCCATATTACTTGGTAACCTAAGAGATTTTATATCTAGATTCTTTCCAATAGAGCCAATTCAACTAGTGAAATACTATAACCAGGCCTCTCTCTGTGTATTAGGGAAAATGTTACCAACTGGACACAACTTTGAGAATACTGTACTGGGAGTTGTACAGCAATGAAACAGACATGAATTACCAATTACCACAGACATAGGTACAATCTTCAAACCGTGTAACTTCAGACTGTATAACTGTATAACTTTCTCCTTCCTTTCTCTTTGTCAATGATTCACAGTGTCTAGTGGAGTAACGTGCATCTCTGTATTCAGTTAGGAGGTAGTTATATCATAGCTCCTATCTTTTTCACTGTCAGAATTAAGGTTATTAAAAAACTGAAAGGTCAACTCTTACTGGTAGTGGTTAGACTTTTTATCTCTTATTTGAAAAAAACACACTTGAAGATGGATTTGAGGACTCCTTGAACTAAACTGATTACCAGCTTCTATGCCTATCCTCAGGAAACTGAAGGCCACAGGACAAACTACAGGTTTAATTGCAAACTCACACATACAGAATTGAAAACAAACAGGATATCATTGAGTTTATTCGATATTACTACATAGTTCCACTTCAGGAGTAAACCCTGCCTGAAAAACAAAGTATCAGTAATGACAATATTCTTAAATACATCAGTGCCATGACTTGCATCCCCAGGCAAAGCGAGTATTCAAAAACTGGTTAGTGAGTGATCACTGACCAACCTCAGGTGGGTGACTCAAATACTCTGTATAAACTTTCTATTATCTAAAGGTAGGGTTTCTCTGGCCTAATTTAATTAAGCCTCTGGTTTGATCAAGGCTCTCTAAAATGCTGACATCAAGACAATCATGACTTTTTTTCATTTCCTGCAAAAGTCACATAAAGAAGTTACCTAGTACATTTCCCATGCTGAGGCACTTTCCACTCTCATCTTAAACATCACTTCTTCAAGGAAAGAGTGAAAAGGCATGATGGCTCCTGAGTTTGTAGCACTCCCTCATTGCCTTATTCTCCCTTTGTAGCACACACCACAACAGGCATTGTATATCTGTACTAACAAATCAAGCTTTGTTCAACATTTGGCTTTTTCTAGACTTCAGACATCCTGAAGGTGAAGGTCACCTGGGTCTTGCTGATTGACTATTTCCTGCACCTATTAGTGCTTGGCACATAAGTGTCCAGTAAATATTCATTCAATAAACATTTAGGAACAAAAAGCCAGCCAACAATGTCCCTTCCATGTACTCAAATAATAATAGTTCAGAAAGTTAGGGAAAGAACATTAGGCTTTGAGAAGTGTAATGTTAAGAATATCACTCTGTTCTCAACATAAACTTGAGAAAATAGTTTTTCCACACAATAAGTGATAGAAGTAACTATAATATACATCCATGTACCATTTTATAGCTTTCAAAAGACTTTCACCACTGTGTGGTCTTGTGACTGAAAGTCTCCAAACAGTTCATATAGAACTCTCTGAGAGTCTGTGCAGTTTATCGAGACAGGTACATAACTCTTCATCCTGGAACTTTATACATGTCTTAGAGACTATCTGGACTTTTTTTTAGTGCTCAGTGCATCATATTCCCTCTATAAACAATTTGGAACTACATCCTTTTTTTCTTTAAGCTTCAGAGCACTGAAGCAAATACTGATGCCAAATCAAATCTTTGTGCGTTGTGCAATACAGCAGCCCTATTTTTTTAAAGGACAAAGAAAAGCAATCTGAGAGTTTCTGCTAACTGCCAAAGGGACTTCCCAGGGAACTGGTAGTAAATGCCTCCACACCTCTAACGTTCCAATGTAAATTTCCAAAACCTTTCAGAGATCCATAACCTTCAGATTTCTGTGAAGGTAAGAGCAGAAAACAAATATTTAAATAATAAACAAATGCTCTTTGATTATTTAAAAACTTTTTTTAAGCAGTATATGGTGGTGCATACCTATCTATAATTTCAACTATACAGGAGGTTGAAGCAGGAGGATTGTAAATTTGAGGCCAACATTGCCAAATGAGCAAGACCCTGTCTCAAAATAAAAAATAAAAGGTCTAGTAATGTAGATCAGTGGAAGGACTCTGGGTTCAATCCCAAGAACTTAGGGGTAGGGTGGGTTTTATGACAATACAGAAATTCACAAGCAAATAAAATTACAGTGTGGATCAGAGTATGGCCAAATGCTGCTATAATGGAAGCACCACAATCCCCAGAGTCTATGTATGATGGAGCAGAAAGTAAAATGGAGCGCACACAGTTTCCCATTATCTGTTTCCTTTCCCATACCTGAACTGAGGCATGGAGAGCACTGCAAGCTCAAGACCAGCCTGGGCTACATAGTAAGTTCAAGGCCAGTCTGAACTACACAGCACTTGTCTCAAAAAAACAAAAATACAAACACACACAAAAAAAAGAGAGAGAGAGAAATCTGACTTAAAATAATTCTTCATTTCAGAGATGAGGAATACCTCATATTATAACTTTAGGAGCTTATACCTAATCCTGTAAGATTCTTAAATCTCACTTTTCTTGTTTTGTTTCTTTTAAGACAGGGTCTTGGTATGTAGTTTAGGCTGGTCCTGAACTCACTATGTAGGCTGGCCTCAAACTCGAAGCACTCCTCCTCCCTCAGCCTCCTGAGTACTGGGATTACAGGCGTGTGCCACCAAGCCCAGCTCCTGTAAGATTCTTAAATTTCAAAGTAGGACAAGTTACAGCCAATAAATAAAATAAGTCATGGTACTTGTGTTTTAGAAAGTTTCACCTATCTAAGGAGTTCTGTTTGGAAATCAGGCTTTATAGTAATACATCTAACAGTTTTATCACATTTTAAAACCACCTTAAATATCTGTGACTCCTAAAAGTTTAGTAGAAAAAAAATCAACCGTAAGTTCTTTGAATAAAATCTCATTTTTTATCAATAATACATATTGCTATTAACATTTGCACAGTGTGAAAGTCAAAGACAGTTATCAAGTAACTGCCATAAAACATAAGAGTCAAAGCAAGACTCATCTGTGCAATATGCCTAACTGATCTTTGTGAGTTCAAGACCAGCCTGGGCTACATAGTGAGGTCAAGACCAGCCTGCATTACATAGTGAGAACCTATCTCAAAAAACTAAAAATAAAATAAAATAAAAACCCTAAGGAAAAAGGAAGGGAAAAGTGAAAAAAAAAACCCAAGTTATACTATTAGTGTCTCTTAATTCATTGAAAAGGAAGATTTGTGCTAATATAAATTGGAGAACTTTTTATGCCCGTATCTTATACTCTGAGTAACTACTTTAAAGATAATAATATGCAGTGTATTGACTATTGTTATTCTCCTATTATTTTGTTATGAAATTTTGTTTTACTTTTTTTCCATAAAAAAAATACAAGCCCAAATAAAATATAAATAAATTTTATTTTTCATGGAAGAGTAGGTGATCTTGTTAAATATTTAATTTCTGGAATTTTCCCATAGCTATAAGTAAGAAAAGGCAAAGAAACCGGAAGTACAAGACACTTTTCCTACAGAGGTACATGAAATCAGTTCAGCAGGGAGTTTCCAATACTAGGAGGACAAAGGACTTCTCAGAAACATTACTGCAATCATATTGCTCATTTCTTACTCAACACAGCACTACCAAAAAGGATGTTACTATGTTCCCACCTTAACTGCCTTCTGTGTTGTACCTGTGACAGCCAGAGTCAACAGAGATTAAGTCTGGCTTCTGGAAAAACCAAAACACCCAACCTTCTTCATTTTCATGCTTGCTTTGAAGGTCTTCCATATTATCTGATTTTAAGAATCTTGCAATAGATACATATCAGTTAAATCTAAAGAATGAGTAATTAAACCTAATCTAAAATATACATTCAAGCAAATACAACAATAAAAGCAAAGTTGGATACAATTTTAGCATTTAAAAAATCTCATATTCAAAGGAAACAGCTCACACCAAAAATTTTAAGAAAAAACTTCAAGACAATTTAAAAAGATTTAATATGCTAATTAATCCAGATGGCCTACCTAGAATATTTAAGATTCTTATTCTACTTCCTGATTAACAAATTAATAGATGCTATAGTAAGGGTAAAGAACTATTAAAAGTTAGAAAAGAATTTTGATTTCATTCTATTTGTAGGTGAGTTATAACCAAAAATAACCAGGTGAGTGACATAAACTTACATGATTTATTGCAGACTGAACAGCCATAACATAATGGTTTAGTTCCCGATTCATTATGACAAATTCAACCATCGCCTTGTCCATACTATATTCACTACTCACTTCAGCTGAAAGAAAAAAAAGGCTACAGTTATTATTTTCCATTTAAAATGCTATACTGGAAACAGCTGCAACAATGTGCTCTGTATCAGCCAATGGTCCAAATAATTTTGTAAAAGTATTAACATATTTTTTTAAATGTCCTAAATATATGCCCACACTGTCTGCAAAGGCAGTGTTGAGTTGGAAGAAAAACCGTGGTTTCCAGGAGTTTCGGGCTCAGTGGTGTGATTTTAAAGCACCTTAGTCATATATCCACCATGTAAACCTCTCAGAATTGTCAATCCTCCTACTGAAAAACTGCAAACATCAGATAAAACAGAAATAAAAAGAAATTTCTTTAAAAACAAGTAGCAAAATAAGGCAGGGCGTGGTGGTACACACCTATAATCCCAGCACTCAGGAGGCTGAAGCAGGAGGATCACTGTGAGCTCAAGACCAGCCTGAACTGCACAAGGAGAACCTGTCTCAAAAAACAGACAAAAAAATAAAAGAGTTGCAAGATGGTAAGAAGAAGCAACCAGAGAAAAAGCTAGGGAAAAGTGAAGTACAGAACTGGGGCAACAGTACCACAGTCAGATCCTGTCCCACGGTGAGCTGGGTGGGACTCCTCTGTACAGAGGTGAACCTGAAGCAATCATCTTTGCTCCTCAGCCTTTGAGGGAGTTAGCCTTAGCCATCAGGCAGAAGAGGGGAAGTGAAGAGAAACCTGATTTCTGAAAACCTGGCCAGAAGCCAGCCCTCCTGGATTTGCAGCCTGGGCTTCCCTCACTCTCAGGCCAAAGAATAAGAGATGTGAGGTGCTCTCAGACTGACAGTACCACAGGAATCTGGCAGAAGCAAACAGCCCTGAGAAGACACCTTGATCCCTGATCTCTAGTAGTATCTCTATAGTAGCACCTCTAAATAAGTTTTAAGGGTAATGAGCACATCACAGGGGAAGAAATTAAAACAAAAATAAAAAAAACAAAAAAGTCACACACCCTAAAACACAAAAATCAAGCTACCAAAAGAAAGAATTAAAAACAGATGCACAAATATTTCTGTTGTTGCAATAATCTATCAGTCACTGCAAAAAACAATGACACTCACTGTGCTTAAAAAACTGAAATACCGTCAGGGAACAGGAGACTACAGAAAGTGACTAAAGATTAGAAAAGTAAGATAATGTGCTAAATAGTATTTTTAAGCTGTTTTTTTTTTTCTTAATCCTAAATTGTATTAATCCTAATACAATTTAACAGATCAAGAAAAAATAGAGAAACTGGGGTCATAAGAATTTCAGCATTACCAAAAACAGAGTGAAAAGAAAGTTGATTGTCTTACATTCTATTTGAGAATGCACATACTCAAAAGACTCTGAATAATTTAGCTCACCAAATGTCAGTCTTTCTCGTAATCCCAAAGTCACAGAATATGTAATACCCATTTACATTTGGCTTTTAAAATCAGCTTTCCAAACTTTTAAATTATGTTTTAATTTTATAGCAATCCGTATTCATTCATTCATTCATTCATTAAGACACAGTCTTGCTAAGTGGTTCAGGCTAGCCTTGAACACCTGCCTCTCCCTCCTAAGTGCCAGGATTACAGGCATGCACTACCATCCCAGTTTACAATAATCTACTTATTATACACATAGTCGACAGAATGTTTCCTGTATATATGTGCTTGTAGTAAAATACCTCAGCTTTTACTATCTAGACATCAAAGAATGTATAAATATGTTAAGGTAAGCTTTTCTTTGGGAAATCTATGATGCTTATGAAAGAAAAATATGTATTTATACTCCCCAAATTAAATATTTTTAATTAAGTGGGTGTAAGAAGTGTCAAGTCAGATCCCTAGACCATGACAGTTACTGGGTCAATGCTCTGAAAATGTCCAACTGTCAGCAAAGGACAGACACTGCTCAGATATTGCTACAATGAACAGGTATATGTTGCTACTTATCTGAGAAACAGGAAGGGAATTTTATATTCTTTATAGTCTAATGTAATAATTTGTACTGGCCATTGTGGTGCATGCTTATAATGTAGGTAATCTCCCCACAGGACTAATTTTTTCCCCTGATACTGAGGATCAAAACCAAGGGTGACCTAGTACTAAGCTATATCCCCAGTCCTATTTTATTTTTTATTTCGAGCCAGGATTTCACTAGATTGTCAATCCTGCCTCAGCCTCCTGAGTAGATGGGAATTAAAAGCCTGTGCCACCACCCAGCTAAAACAGTTAATGTTTGAAGGCATTCAGAAGAGTTTAAAACTCAAACTACAATAGCAAGATGATGGTTCTTCTTAACAAGGTCTCATGTACCTGCACAAGATAGTTAAATAAAAATACCAGGCCAAAGGGACCTTCCGGCAAAGGAGAAATGGAGTGATAGCTGTGTCATTCATGGTCTATGGGAGAATCAATGGAGTTCAACTGTGGTTTACAAGCAGCCTCAACTGGGATTCCATGGCCAAGAATGCTGAGACAAGCTGAAGAACACAGTTGAAGAACAGTGCAGCCTAAGGTGACCAAAGGAAGGGAAAACACCAGAAAGGATCGGGAAGGTAATCATAAAAAGAGTTGAGAAGCATACCCTGGCTGAAAGTGGTGCTCAGTCAGTTAACTTTGGTCAAAGTGTCTTGGTTTGCTGCTGAAAGGGGCTGGAGAGGCCACAGAACAAAGCAAAAGAGATGCTCACAGCAGTCTTGAAGAAAGTCATGAGAATGTCCACATAGTGTAGCAACCTGCCATAGCCAATTTAAGATTCTGAGCCGGGAAGACAGCTCAATGGCACAGTGCCTGCCTGGCAAGTACAAGGTCCTGAGTCCAATTCCTAGTACCAAAACAAACAAACAAAACAATTTAAGGTTTTGTTTTTCATATTAACCCTTACTCCTCTACAGAAATACTAACCTAATAGTGTGAGAGTGTGTGTGTGTGTGTGTGTGTGTGTGTGTGTGTGTGTGCGTGTGTAGACTGAATTTAGGGACTTTGGACTGAGCTACATCCCAGCTCTTTTATTTATTTTGACAAGGTGTCTCTCCAAGTTGCTAAGTTGCCTGGGATGGGCTAGATCTGCTTCAGCAACCCAGTAATAACCTATTTTTTAAGCTGACTTGTGAGTCAGGTATGGTGGCCCATGCCTGTAATCTCAGCACTCTGACAGGCTAAGGCACAAAGCAAATCCAGCCTAGGAAGCTTAGAGGGTCCCTGTTTCAAAAATAAGAAATAAAAAGGGCTGGGATACACCTCAATGTGAAGGCTCTAGGTTCAATTCTCAGTACAACAACAGCAACAATAACAATAGCAGCAAAATATGTACATGTTCTTGCTTGTGCAAAAAACATGTTTAAATATGAGGAGAAAGACAAGTATCTCTAACTCCTTCAGGAATATTCAGGGAACCAGTCTTCAAGCAGGAGAAAGTCAATGGTCCTGAGCTTTAGCTCAGCTACACAGTAATCCTCTGGCATAAAGCCATACTTCCAAGTAGGACACTGGGTAATGCCACTCAAAGGCTATCAGGCATGGTCCTAGAAAGCTCTTCTAAATTCCTTATGTAGATGAAACAAAAAATAAAATGAGTTTTCCTCTTTTAGAAGAATAGTGAGTTTTAACACCAGTCAAGAGTGACCTTTCACATGAGAAGAGCTAATATAAAGTGCTATGAAATCACCTAAGTCACCCATTTAATGCCAGGAGAAAAACAGCCAATCCCAGAAGCTCAATGATCAGGAACATGAGCAGCCACAGACACCATGAAAGAAGGTACAGACTGGCTCCCAGCAGCAAATGAAGGGGAAGAGAGCATAGAAGGAACCACATTGCAAAGAAACATCTAAGTAAAGCTCAGACTCAAAAATCAGTTTTATTATCCACATTCTGATGGCTTTCCCGAGCCAAGCAGGGTCTGGGGAGGTTACAAATATTCACATTTCTTCAATGTGCTACTCTATGAGCATTTCTTTTTTAGAGTCAATCCTTGCTTTTTTAATCAAATGAATCTAAGTGATACATCTGAGCATTCATTTACAAGCTAATATATAGATGGAGATGTCATGGGGACATCTTGACGTCTCATGGAAGATTTTGAGGCCTTTGGGAGGCCTCTCACCTAACACACTAAGAAATTTTTTCAAGAAGTTAATACAGTAACTAACTGAAATACATCTCCCACCTCCACATTCACAGACCAGTCTGCAACCCCGGGGGCACTGACAATCTGATTTATGCCATGAAATTCTAGCTGTTTCTCCAAGTATGACAGTGCAGGGCTGCTCTACAATCCTAAATCTATGTGCAATGATCCTGATCAGTACTATTCCCAAATCTACGACATACCACTGTACAACTGATACCAGACCTGAAGAATTTTACGTATCATTTAGACCAGAAAGAGTTGTAGAACTAAACCTATCCTTTAAAGATGTTTTTTTTTCCCCAGTGGCAAACCTTGGAAGAACAAAGGATGATCATCACTGAAGCAGGGCTTCTTTTGAGATTGAAATCCTGATATTTAGATAGTTTAAGAAGTTAATGAAGTTGGTCTGCACATATTTTTTCTTGTTCTTTTTGAGACAGGGTCTCACTACGTAGCCCAGCTGGCCTTGAACTCCTGGTGATCCTCCTGCCTCAGCCTCCCAAATGTTGGAATTACAGGCATGCACCACCATGCCCAGCTTGCATATGATTTTCTTAAAGTCAAATAAAGCTATAACTATGCAATCTAAGCATCTCCCTGTACATCAGACTCATCATCTGTTACTCAATGTCAAAATGCACTAACAGAGCCTGGTGTGGTGTATGCTTGTAATCCCAGCACTCAGGAGGCTGAGGCAGGAGGATCGTTGAGAGTTCGAGAGCAGCCTGGGCTACAAAGTGAGCTCAAGGCCAGCCTGAACTGCACAGTGAGACCCTGTCTCAAAAAGACACACACACACACACACACACACACACACACAAATGCACTAATAGCAATACTGTAACTATTACTCTTCTCTGTTGTGAAGTATTA